TTTGCCAAGCTGCAAATGTAGCTACGTGTTGGTTTGTTCTTATCTGCTATGCCTTTTTCTGAAAGTATTGAATTTTTCACCTTTGTCTTTCTAATTTTCATCTAATATGACATTCTGTTATTCTCTCCTTTAGCAAATTGGTCTGCTTTCATCCTTCTGAATGTTTTTTCACTGAGTGTTATATTACAATGCTGGTCACACAGGGCCTTCCTACCCCTACTTCCAAATCAGGACCATTTATGTGTTTGTCCTTGATTCTGCTTTTTGAAGAAATGAGCCATGCTCCTGAAATCATTATCCTCTTACTGATTACTTAGATTAGCTTTGAACTTTCCTTTAACTGTTTAAAGAGGTTGTTAAAATCTGCTTTCTTCAAGCCCTCTGTCTTTATATTTCTGTCCTTTTTGCTTTTCCTCCTAAACAATTTAACTTGTCAGCACTTCATTGGCACTTTTACCCAAGATGTTTTCTGTCATAACAACCTGATTTGTTCTTAAGCATATCCCAGATTTAAAATCAGAAAATTCTTCCCCTTCTGTGCATTCTCTTTCTTACTTGAGTTGTTATCACTACATCCCAACACCTTGCTGACAATCCTGGGTGTTTTGAGCCATGATTTAGTTGCTTCCACATCAGTGTTGAGGACTGTCAGAGATGCCATAGAGCAGTGTGGCATCCCAGAAGGGCAGACAGATGTGACCGATGCTCTTCTTGACTAGAAACTAGAGTCTGGAAAACTAAGACCAACTCACATGGCAACAGACAACTACATTTAGGTTTCTGAGAAGCATCTCAGTGATGTAGACGTCCACATCTAAGCTAGTCGCCCACAGCTCCATTTCTAGATGATGGAATAAAATAGATTCACTTCTGCATCATGAATCACCAGGTCTGCATTAGACGCACCTAAGAATAAGATTGATCCCTAAACAAAGGCCCTGTTTTACTTTGCTCACTGGGAAGACAGTTCAGATATTATTTAGTTATGGATGTCTACTTTCTGGCAGGTAAATTCCTCTCTTTGCTTTATACTAGTTAATGGCTATGCATTGTTCACTTTTTAATTAATTGATGTACATTTTTAATTTAAACTTTATGAACAGCTATAAAATTAAAAAGTATATATCTCCCCATTGCCTGTAGATATTTGCATACTCATAGATATGTGCTGGCAAGGTCCCTGCAATTATTGGTAATTTCTCAGCCAAAATAACAACTGGACTCTGATTTCCTGCAAAACACTGCTCAACTCCTTCATTGCAGAAAGTTGTAAAGGGATGAGGAAAAAAGCACTGCTTTGGGAGGTGTATCAGACTGGGAGTAGCAAACGCTGAGTGCATCAGTTGCAGCACTTGGTTTAAACACTATCAGGCTGTCTCAGCTGAGGTGCAATGGCCATGCTGTCTTGTCTGCACACAGACACCTTTCCTCAACTCCTGTATACCACCACTGGCTCTCACCCTGACTGTGCATGTCCCCCTTGGACAAGCCCTGCTTATCTGGAAAGTTCCCATTCTTGGCTGTCAAAGTGGAGGCAATTTTTTAACATCTTGCTGAACAACCTGTCCCATACAAGGACAAAACTGTGTTTTCAAGTCCCTGTGGCTTGGCCCTGCTTTATTCAAAGCCATAACACAAACTGTTCTTATATGTTAGCACTGGCAGCAGAGTTACCAGGGGTCTCCTAAACCTCCACTGGGCCAGCTGGCACCTCCCCTTTATGAGGACAGAACTGTGCATATCCCTCTTGGACTCCTCCTATGGAGGGAGGAGAGTTTCTTAGTTGAAGAAATACAATGACTGAGATAGCGAGAAGTACTTCCAGGGAATGGCAAGGACAGTTTTCTAAGTTTCACGTCTGTAGACAGAGCCCATCTCTCCCCCAGAGATCTGCAGGGTTCAGTGTGCTTCTGGCACAGAGAAGCACTTAAGTTTACGGCTCTCCCATTATCTGCTTAGTACTAGTTGGCTGCAGTGAAACTCGGGTTTGCTTATGTCCAGCAAACAGAAAAGGAATCACAGCAACAAATTTCCACTCCAGGCAGGATCTCACTCATCTCTCATCAATTCTGTTTCAGTCCTGTGCCGGTGGCAGACCAGTGCCCCGGCACAATATACAAGAACTTACTGAAAGTGGGGCCAGGGGGGCAGCAGGGAACACTAGGAAGCCATCCTGACTAAAATGCCTGAGAAGGGTGTGGGGGAATAATGCTGCAGGGAATGGGTGAGGTACATCTTCAGGGGTTGCACTAATGCTTGTGATTTCCCAGGACAGCTTGTGTCTGGAGAAGATGCTATCCTTTTGCCCGCTAACAATGGCTGTCCTGGATCAGATAAAATGTCCCAGCTACAGAAGTATTTTGTTCTCAGCAGGGAAAACCTTTTTCATGGTCACAGCAGACAGCACTGCCATTTACTATCACATGCCCAACCAGTTCCAATCTAGCAGGGAACATCTCCTAGCTGTCCCATTCACCACCTGCATTTAAAAAAAAATCACCCACCGGTCCTTTCTGTTCACCTCCCCTCTTTCCATGAGGTGCTACAGAGTCACTTCTGCTTAGGTGGGATTTAGAGGGGATTTTCTCTTACTTACAGGCTCTACTTGCAGATTTGCAGAGGTTACCCACATCCCTTCTCCCTCTGCAGTGCTTCTGGGGACCACTAGAATCTCACCCTCCCCAGTTAGCTCTGATCCCAGAGCAGCACGAGACACCATGGTAGCAAAGAGGGGCTAGAGGAGAAACAGAGAGTGAGCAATGAGTCTTTGCTGACTACAGCAGGACGGAGCCACCCAGGTGTCCCATGGGGCAGGAGAGAGCAAGTGCATGAAAGTGATGTGGGAAAGCACAGGGAGGGAAAGTAGAAGGGGAAAGACTATGGGAGAAGGAGGAATGCTCCAAACATGCCAAGCATAGATAGGGCTGCAGCCCATGGTAGGGCCTATGCAAGATGAGGGGTAGGGAGCAGCAGTGGGAGGGCTGGGATGGAGGGAGGTACATCTGTGGGGAGAGGGCTCTGGCATGGAGAATTCCTTTCTCTCCTTGTATGCTCACACTCCCTACATTGGTCCATTCGCAGAGAGTTTCTGGCATCAAATCCTACCTCATCCTGATTCTTGACTTTGCAGATAGCACGAGCGCAGAGTGCAACCCTGAGCTCTGAGTCACCCACTGCCCATAGTGAACTGCTCACCTGATGCAGGACATGGGTCTGGAAGACTCAGGGGAGAGAAAGTAATGGGTTAGGATGTAACCACGACTGTGGGCGGGAAGAAGGCAGCGGGGGTAAGGAGCAGGAAAAACCTCGATGCCCTTGGCAGTGGGGATCATACACATCAGCATAAGAGTGTGGGGAGGCAGTTCAATGTCCAAGTCTTGGAAAAGTCACGGCGCAGTTGAAAGAGGAGCAGAAAAGAATCAAGACTTGATCTGAATGTTGAGGGAAATCTGCTACAAACTCTGGAGTCTTTGCCCCCACCCTTCTAAGAAAATTCTTTTGCAGTCTTGCGCTATGGAGGAATTTCCCTGCCCATTGCAAGTGCTGCAAGGCAAACAGGAGAAGGGACCTACCCAGCCCAACCCAACAGCTCCTTCCACAGAAAGCTCCTGCACAGCACCCCAAATTCCCCTGGACCTGTCAGCCCCTGCCACACAGTTCTCTGTTTTGAAAATTTCCCCTCCTAATCCTCCATCCATGTTCACCTGTTTCTCCTCCTGCTTCTCCCATGCCTCTTCCCACCCATCCTGTACAGGATCATCTTCTCACTCACTTGTCTCTGCGGCGCCACAGAGGACTACCCTTGATCCCTGTTCCTTTCTCTGCAGAATATGTCTGACATATCTCACCCCATACTTCACTAAGGCGTTATCTCCACACTGAGGCTTCCTTGCTCCAAGTCTGCCCCTTCTGGCCAAAGCATGTCCTTCACCTGCCACTCTCAGTGCAAGCCAGCATGGTTGTAGGTCTCAGCAGCCCACCTCTTCCTGTTTCCTCTTACTTTGGCCACAATACACAGCAACTCCCTACAGCCAGCTCTGCTAATCTGCAAGCAGGGCAGCTCCCAGGTGTTCACTTAATGCCCATGTCCAGCTATCTCCTTTCTGCACACCCACACTCTCCCACATGTGGCCATAGGTGCATCCTCCAGGCTCCCATCTCTCTGTGTTGCCTAAGCAAGACCGTCCTTTCCTCTTGCTGCCATCCTGGACGTGGCCACAGATACGTGCTCCAGAGTCACTCTGTCACTCTCCAACCTCCTGCACCTCCTCTGTCTTTCCCTCGGTCAGGAAATCTGAAAGGCTCCTCTGTATTCAAGTAGACCTTCCCATTTTCTCCGTTGTTCCACTGCAGCACATTCAATGAACATCTCCAAGGGAACATTTCAGCTGGCTGTAGCTCCTGAACAGGCTGAATTGGTCAGTGCTGTAGCCAAAGCACTCTGTGATGGACAGGATATATTTCATCTGTGTGCTCTCGGGGAATGTGTTACACACTCCTGTGTTAGCAAAAGAGGAATGTGTTGGAGGGCAAGGAGACAGGTCCATCCCAGGGGACTTCTGAGCCTGCCTCAGGGGCAAAAGGGTTGAAAGATGGTGGGAGGGGACAGAGAGGAGAAGCACAGCCCCATGAGAAAGCCCTTGCAACTCAAAGAGAAAGTGTGCAAATTAGTTGCTCACACACTGGTGTTAAGTGCCATTTGTAACCCTGGGCCCAAGGGAGTGATACATCTCTCTCTGACCAAAACCAATCAGTGCTCTTAAGTTCCATAGCTGCCAGCGGCTAGTTTATATCCAGTGCTTAGGTGGCCTAAGTTAGAGCTGGATCCTAATGCTTGTCCCAAGGAAAGGCCATGTTCAGGCCCTGCATCCTGTCCTGGTAGATCCTGTCGAAGGTCTCGCTCTGTGCCACTGTGAAATGGTTCTTCCAGTCCCCACAGATGCCTGAGAAAGGAGAATTTTTGGCTCAGAGCACATCCCAACACACAGCCCCCCCTCTCTGCTCTGTCTTCCATAGGCACAGGAAGATAGGCTTAGCTTTTGGGTCCGGTTACCACCCCAAAGGGCTCTCCAAAATGAGAGACCATCTCCATGAACCTGTCCTCCAGACCCAAATGCATACATCGCTGCTCCCTGAACACCCTTGCTGTGGTTGTCACCATGAAGACATTGCAGCCCCACTGCTCCACCTTGCTGGCAGGCTCCCTGAGGCATAGCAATGGGATCCCCTGTACTCACCCTTTCTCAGAAACTGCCCTTTTGTCTGGTCCATGATGTCTGAAGGGAGCAGGATGGAGCTGCACATTGGGTTGTCCCTCATGGATGTGAAGGAGGCATTTTGCACTACTGAAAAGATGGCATCCTCATCTAAATCCTGCCCCAGAAACTGGCAGAGACGTCGCACACTGCCCTGCAGGTCCTAAGGACACAGATGGAGCCTGTTACCTGTGAGGGGCTTGTGACAAGCCCCTACACTGTCTCAGGGAGCAGGTAGGCTGGGGGAAGATCAGTGTCCAGTGTTCATGCCCCAGCACCAGGTAGAATAGATTTGCAGTAGAGGTGCCTCGTTTGGAGCTGTGAGGTCTGCCTAGGTCTCTACCTGCTTTAGCTCTTCATAGGTGATGAAGAAGAAATTCTCCCTGCTCTTCATCTCCAACCAGCCTTGGACGTGTTCAAACCAGGAGCCATGGGGCACTGATGGGAGACAAAAGGCAACAGGTCTAGGAGTAGACTGGGGCAGGGTAGGGGGTGTACAAGGCAAAGGAGAGTTCACATGAGGTTGGGAGCAGGGCAGCCATGAGACCAAAGGTGTCCAGGGAATAGGTGGGGCTGGGAGGTTCAATCAGGGAAGGGGAGGGGGCTGTCATTGCAGCTGAGAAATAGGGCCTTCTCCAGCTGCCCTCCTGCTCAAGCTGCCTGGTTCAGCCAAACACCGCTCTGATGATGGCGAGAAGAGGCTGAGGCTAGAGGTGTGCAGGCTCACAGGTCAGCTCCTGCCAAAGCTTTCTAGAAATTTCTGACCTGAGGTCTTCCTGGAGACCTCTGAACTCTGTAAGAGAAGGTGGGGAAATCCACTTTCCATCTGCTTCAGAGCCCAACAGGGTTTTACAGGCCTGCCTCTCTCTCCAGAACTGCTTTGTTTTGTCTACCTCCTGATCCATCCTCCCTTCCTGGGGAAAACTTGGTTTCATAGCCATCCTCAGTGGGCACTAGCAAAAGACCCTTGAGCTAGAGGCAATCAGAGACCTCCCCATGCCCTGAGTATGCTCTAAACCACACTCACACTCTCCATTCAGAAAGTCCCTCAGGAACTGCTCAAAGGATGTGGGGTCCTCGTAGCTGTTACACATCTTGGAGAAGTAATAGTAGGAGACGACAACATCTCGAGGATCCCGTAGGGTGTAAATGACCTGGAGTAGAGTGCATGTAGGGGTTAGACAGGCCCAGTAGGGGAAGTCAAATGTCCAGGCACCGGCACCGGGGTGGAGCTGTAACTGGAGAGGTCTGCCATACAGGTGCCAGCTCTTAGCTAGACTCCATCACCCAGACCTTGGATGGGGGTCCATGAAAACACAAGGCCTCTAGAGTCATTGGAGATGCCTCAGAGCATCTGAGAGGGGCAAGATGTGACATGGGGGGCTTCACATTTCCATCTGGAGGGCATGCAGGACACTTCCCACCCTCACAGGACAACACCAAGGTCCTTATCCAATGTCCCCTCATTCCAAAGCTCCTCAGCTCCTGGGTCCTGCCAGACCCCAGCCCCCTTCAAGATCTCCATGGACGCCCATCCCACCTTGGCCCTGGAGTGGGAGAAGGACTTGGGGAAGATGTGCCTGGGGAGGTGACAGGTCAGCAGGCGAGGTGAGGGGAGGCTGAGAGCTGACTCTAGACCCAGCCGGGTTGAGAACCAAGGCACACGGTCAGAATTGAGGACGGTTCGGCTCCAGCCAGGATGGCCATGGTTGCGGATAAGGCTCAGGATCTCAGTCATCCACACGGTGCCTGCCGGGGAAAGCAGAGGTGCATCTCTGCCCCAGGGGACAGATATGGGCAGATCTCACAGCACCAGAGCTGCTTTGTCAGCAGCATCTTCACCACCAAGTCTGTGCCCTCCCAAGAGACGGTGCTCCCCTGCCCATGTACAACCGCTGCAGTAAAAGACTCCCCATACCTCCCCAAAAGTTCTTATGCCCTGCCAGAGGAAGAGATTCACCCCCCTGAACAACACCTGGAGATGCTTCCAAATCCCGCTCCCTTCCCCCAAACCCTACCAACCACATCTCTCCCAGCCTGGCCTATGCCACCCTCTCCTCCTTTGCCCAGCCCTGCTGTCCTCCCCTTGTACCGGACTTGGGGTAGGTGACGTTGAAGATGTCATCGTCCCGCACCAAGAAGTCATTGTGTGCAAAACCCAGGCTGTGCTCAGAGTTGTAGGCAGGGGGGAATTTAATGCCTTTATATATCACATACGGAAAAGGCATGGTGCCTGGATGGGGACAGGGTGCTGCAGCTCTGAAGGGTCACTATGGGGAGGGAGGAAGAGAGGGTAAGGGTGCTGATCGCAGGTGAGGAAATTTCCTCCCCCATAGCAGATCCCAAACACGTGCTCAAGCCCCCACTCAATCACCCAAAACAGCAGGCTGAGATCAAAGGAGCTGTGTATTATGGGATAACCCACCCAGACACTTTCTGATCCTTCCCCATGCAGACGCTATGCAAACAGCAGGTTGTCTGGGTGGGGTCCTGCTGGCTTCTCATTAAGGGCGTCTAGGGTCAGGTTCCTGCTAACAGACTGACTTCTCCTCTTCCTCCCCTTGCTGCCACATGTGTTTACCTGTCCTCACAGCTCAGAGGAGCGGGAAGCAGCCATCATAGTGGGATCTCTGGCCAGTCAAGGGGGGACAGGAGGCACCTGCCAGGCAAAACTTCCCTGTTTGGTACCCAAAATCCAGCCTTGCTCTGCTCCCACAGCTAAAGGTCTGCAGAGCTGCCAGGACCTGGAGGGGGAAGAAGGAGAGGGAAACGGTTTCTGCCCTTGTGCCACCATCCTGGAACAATGATTAACAAAAACCAAAGTCCGGTCGTCATCCCTTTCCCGTGGAGGGGAGGACATGGACTAGGTCATGGAGAGCTCACCAGCGCATAGCTCTGTGCAGGTCCTTTTGGGCAGACTCGCCCTTAACTTCACCTCCGCTGGAAGAACCCCACTTTTCTCCCATGACCCCTCAGTTTCCCAGATGAGTTTCTCCCTTTTCCTCCAAACATACCATTAAACCTCCAAGGAAGGCCCCCCCCTGCAGTGCTTCCATTTCTTCCCATGTCCCTTTAACACTACACGTTCTTGCACCTCATCTGAAAACCCCATAACCGCTCCAGCCTGCCTACTGCCACGAGCCTTTGTGGGATGTTCTGGAGACCTTTTCTCATGTGTCAAACTGTGCTGAGGTTGGGCCGTAAAAGTGCTACATTCTCTAAAAGGAAGGGAACAGTGAATTCAGAGAACTTGCTTGGGTCATTAAAAAAAGTGTCCCAGGAAAAGAAGAGATGCTGCTACAGCAATAAAGAAGGCAGCAGTTCCTCTCCTTTTTCACAAAAAAAATCTTCATGACTGCATTATGGGAAGAGGACTAGGGGAAGGTCTTCCTCCACCAGGGCAATTAAATGCACTTCTCAAGACCCAAGGACAGTGGGGTTTAATGCCATTAATTAGAAACAAACAGAATGCAACTAGTACTGCCATATAATCATATCTGATATAATGCAGCCATATAATCATACGTCAAATTACAGGTATTTTCTAAAAGGAGATCTATTTTGAAAACTTTACGTAGCAGAATGTGCTGTGAAAAGCAGACTGAAAAATAAATAAGGTACACAGAGTATATGAAGAGTGTTTGAGAAGTAGCAAATGTTGGATTTGATGTCATAGAACAGCTTTTTTTTTAAGAGAAATAGCTAAAACAGTGATTTCCCTTTAGACTGTGTTTTGTTTTCAAAGTAAACATGAGAGAAAAATATGATTAAGAAATGTTTAAACACTTCAAAGTGGAACGTTATCTGACCGCAGGTATTCCATTAACAATGGCTTGAGGAATGAAGTTAACCTTTTGTTGTTTGAACTAAAAAAAATATTTAGCAAAAACCTTTGAAAAGAATAACATGCTCCTATTTTTTTACAAATGAATGATTATACTATTTCATGAAGCAAAACGAGTAACTGTACCTTTTCATGTTCCTCTTCCTGTTTTTTAACATCTCCTCTCATAACCTTCTTTTACTGAAAAGAAATTTAAAAAGCTATTTTTATTTTATGCATGATAGTTCTTACAGCTAAAGGAAGAGAGGAGACCATGCCTTTACAGTAATTTTGTAATTGCAGTGGAATATAAGTCCTTCTGCCTGTGTAGCTTTGCCAATGAGCCGCTAACAGGCCTGATTCATAGAGGAAAAAGGAAAAGAAAAAAAAAATTGCCAGTATCACAATAATTGAAAAACAGATTTTTTTTTAAGAGTAGATTTTTTAAAAGTTTTTTTAAGAGCACAGTGAGTTTTTTAAGGGTAGAACGAGAGCTCCCACTAAAGCTTAACAAAGCCCCAAATAGGAAAGGAGACAGACAGCAAATATTCCCCAGCAAATATTTGGCCTTTGTGCAAAATTAAGAGGTAAAGGAAAAGCCTCCAAACTATTATCAAAATTTAACTTTTCCTTGCAGTCCAGGTAGGTATCTAAATTTTTCGGACAGACCTAAAGGAAATCTATCCAGTGTTTTATATGCAACAGGTAATAGTTGGTGCAGCTTAAAATGTATAGTATACATAGTTAATTGACAGTTGCCTACCTCCAAAAGGTAAGTAAGTATAATGCCCTAAATAATTATAAAAAGTTAGGTAAAAAATGTATTTTTAAACACATTGACATGTCTGTATTGCTGGTTAAAAAGCAAGGTAGTAATCTGCTTTTAAAAATATATATTTCATTTTATTAAAATGCATGAAAATATTATAAATAATGTTTGATTACTTAAATGACAGGGAAAACTGAAAAAGCATACATTAAATTTTAGATATTTTTAAATTTTCTTATAGAAAAAAGCATTAACCATCTCTACTGAAAAAGAAAAGGGTTTTAAATTGCAGCCAGGGCATTTAAGGTGTCTTTTATTGTTATAACAATAATCAAATATTTAAAATAACAACATGCAGCAATTCCAAACTACATTTCTGAAGTCAATGTTATTATAAATTTAACGATATTTGAAACTAAAAATGAATTAATGTATGCTAGCCTTTTAAAACATGATGCAGAGGTGTGACTAATGTTTTCATTTTTTCAGCACTAAGATTTCAGAAAGAACCTCCAGTCTGACCCAGAGAATTGACCTGAATTCAAAGCAAAAATTATTATTAGAGAAATGAAAGCTCATTAAAGAAAATACATTCATGAGAAAATGGAAAAGACATCAAACATCACGCTAGCAAGGAAGCTGAGCAATTTGTCTTCTTGTTGCAGTTCACAAAATGGAATCCCCAGCTGGGTAGAAATTTGGAAAACAAGGAAACCAAAAAGCAACCAAATCATCAGTATTTGTTTTGGAAGTGAAAGTAAAAGAGGATTTTTTTCACAGGTGTCACCTAAAGGTTACATATTACCTCCTTTGGGTAAGCATGGAATGGTTAATTAAAATAAGAAATACCAAAGGGTGATTTTTTTTCAGCATAAATCGTGTTTCTGGGTCTGCTCTGGAGGTGCTCAGCTTTTTCCTGTTATAGATGATGGAGAGCAGGAATACATCCATATGGGATTATCAGAGTTGTCAGATGTCCATTCTTTTCGGAGGCGAATCCCTGTCTCTCCCCACAAAACATAAAGGGAATCTGGCAGCTCAATCGTATGTGGGTGCATAATTTTTAGTTACTCAAAAGCACTGTATGTGCTTTTAGGTGCAACCCTCCAGGGTGGCTAGCAAGCTGCCTGGTTCAGCCAAACACCGCTCTGATGATGCCATTTCTTTTCCCTGCAAACATAGGGGCAGGAACGGGTGCAGAGACCACAGCGAGAAGAGGCTGAGGCTAGAGGTGTGCAGGCTCACAGGTCAGCTCCTGCCAAAGCTTTCTAGTAATTTCTGACCAAGACTTCCTGGAGACCTCTGAACTCTGTAAGAGAAGGTGGGGAAATCCACTTTCCATCTGCTTCAGAGCAGAAAAAGGTTTCTGCCCTTGTGCCACCATCCTGGAACAATGATTAACAAAAACCAAAGTCCGGTCGTCATCCCTTTCCCGTGGAGGGGAGGACATGGACTAGGTCATGGAGAGCTCACCAGCGCATAGCTCTGTGCAGGTCCTTTTGGGCAGACTCGCCCTTAACTTCACCTCCGCTGGAAGAACCCCACTTTTCTCCCATGACCCCTCAGTTTCCCAGATGAGTTTCTCCCTTTTCCTCCAAACATACCATTAAACCTCCAAGGAAGGCCCCCCCCTGCAGTGCTTCCATTTCTTCCCATGTCCCTTTAACACTACACGTTCTTGCACCTCATCTGAAAACCCCATAACCGCTCCAGCCTGCCTACTGCCACGAGCCTTTGTGGGATGTTCTGGAGACCTTTTCTCATGTGTCAAACTGTGCTGAGGTTGGGCCGTAAAAGTGCTACATTCTCTAAAAGGAAGGGAACAGTGAATTCAGAGAACTTGCTTGGGTCATTAAAAAAAAGTGTCCCAGGAAAAGAAGAGATGCTGCTACAGCAATAAAGAAGGCAGCAGTTCCTCTCCTTTTTCACAAAAAAAATCTTCATGACTGCATTATGGGAAGAGGACTAGGGGAAGGTCTTCCTCCACCAGGGCAATTAAATGCACTTCTCAAGACCCAAGGACAGTGGGGTTTAATGCCATTAATTAGAAACAAACAGAATGCAACTAGTACTGCCATATAATCATATCTGATATAATGCAGCCATATAATCATACGTCAAATTACAGGTATTTTCTAAATGCTCCACTAGCAATGCACGCAAAAAGGGGGTCAGCTTTATTCCAAAAGGACATTACATTGTCTGGATATGAAGGTGTTGTAAGAGATGGTCCAAGCAACTTGGGGATACAAGGCTAAGTTGCTGAATGGGATTGAAAGTGGCACCTCAGGAAGCCCAGGTCCTCCTTCACTTCTTCTGACTGTGGTTATTTGCAAACTTTTTTTTGTTTGTTTGTTTGTTTTTGAAATATGAAGCGGATTTTCAAACAGCTCCTGCTTATGTACTCTTTTTATTCCCTTTTTGGTGCGACTCCAAGTGGCTTTGTATCTTCTTGTTTACTTTACTTCTTGGTAAAATTAATGTAAACAATGAATTATCCACAGATTCTATGGATCACTTGCAGCCCTTTTAAACAATTAGGGTCACATTTCCATGTCCTCTCTTTATGTCAAGAAAATTGATTTAAGAGGCTTGCTACATAATGCAAGTAATTTTGTAATGAAGCTCCTTGAAAAGGTTTGCGTAAGTGTTGATGGTGAGTATCCATTGTATTGGTTTATTCTAAGTCCTCTTGTATTTACTTTGGCATACTGCAGCTACCTGGACTTGCTTGCCTATGGAAAGGTCTAAAGGTTCAGTGGCAGGTACATCTCAGAGCTTCCCCATAATGAATGCCAAAGAACCCGTTTGGTTAGCAGTGTCATGACCAACAGAATGGCTTTGGGAATTGCAAATAGCATGTGACAGGGAAAATACTTCCAAGTCACATGAGCTGGCTGCTTCTGAAAAACAGGCGGAGGGGCTATTCTGTGTGCAGAGCTTGGAGAAGACACTGTCTGGAGAACACTCCAAAGAAGCTGCCCTAAAACATGTCTTTTGCATCTATTTCTAGATACTTCCCTTATGTATATTTCAAATGTAAGTTGCTAAAAATGTTGGTTGCTGTATTGCACTATGAAATTCATATCGGCAGCATAAATTGCATCTTCATAATTACAAATTTGCAAATGCCTTGTTAAATCTGCCCCTCTTGCTCACAAGGTGGGCAAAACAAGTTTGAGGGGCCTGCAGGTAAGAGTGAGATTGGTTTGACTCAAAAGTCAATCTCAGTTTCTGTCAGCACATAAGAAACGTTCAGACATCAGTCACGCCAGTTCCCAATCTCAACCAAGAAAGTACCCGATTTAATGCCCATTCCTGCCACACACTTTTTTCCATATGACTGCAGACAATCACTTTATGTCTCTATGTCTCGGATGTGTCTTCAAGAAATACAGAATCACCCAGTGCTCTCCAGCTGTGGTGTTTTGCACTTTTCCACCCAACAATGGCAGAGGAATTTGCGCAGGTGTTACAGAGGATGAGTCATTTGCCATCCTTGCTGACAGAAAACCATCTTCCTAGCCTTGCAGTGGAGCTGAGACATATTCCAACACTTTAGGGCCCAGGGAGTCACAGGCACTGTGATGAGTCTGCTTTTCAGCAACACAGGCCTGCAGGTTTGTGTGCAGAATCTTGGTTTGCTGGGTCCTTTAAAAAACACCGCAGAGTCACCTGAGTCTCATATTTGGGGTTGCAAAAAAAGCAAGGGAGCAATGGTAGTGTCACAGGGCTGGTAATTGAGCCATCTCCATATCTCCCTTGATGGCATTTTTTGAAGCTGAAGTTAAAATTTCTGCACTTGCAGTGCCTGCATCAATACAGTCCCTGTATCCTCCCCCAGCACTACCCCATGCACCTCCAATCCTGCATTGTCCCAAATTCCACATCCTCCAAAAATATTTTCCATAACCCCTAATCTTCCTCATACTGCATCTGTCTGCAACAGGTCCCTGTTTCTGAATTCTCTCCACTCCTCTCTACCTCCCTCCGCCCCAACGTCCCCCGTTCCTCATTTTCCTTAAGTTAAGTTGAGTATGAAAATCTTCTGAAATCCTTGCTGATTCACCCTAGCTGAGATACGGTCCCCTCTGCCTCTCCTTTTGATTCCCTGGTCCCAATTTTCTCCAAGCTGTTGGGCAGGGAGAATAATCAAAATCACTTCTAACTTTGGGGCAGGGGAAAAAAAAATTTGTCCCTCCCCTGGGCTTGCTTCCTACTTTCACTGTCACTGAATAAATGTGGCTGCAGACAGATGTCAAGGCTACGTTGTGGGTGGCAGCTGCAGCAGAAGGCAGCTCCAAAGGACATGCAGAAGATGTCACTGAGGTTTATTTTCCTTCTTGGAGGACTGCTTGCTCTGCCCCTGTGCTTGGCTGACACAGGTAATTCCTTAACCTTTCTCCTTTTCAGGTCGGTCATCTGCACTAGGGCATCTGGGCTAGGAAGGATGCATCTAGACAGATCTAGGTGCAGAAGACATTCAGGTGGTATTTGTTTCCTTCTCTGCAAGAGGAGTTTAGCTGTATATGGTGATCAGTACAAGCTCAGCAAGGACAACCACCATCTACAAGATACCTATGAGGTCTGTCAGGTGAATTCTGCTAGGAGTAAGATGATGGGTCAGTCAAGGTAAGAGAAAGTCAGGAGAGCGGGAAAACAAAAGCTGTTTTATTTAAATGTATCTTAATCAAGTATTTTATCACGTATTAAATTTAACATAGTTGAACCTTACTATAACTGTGAAAAACAATTTATCGATGAAGTCTCTCCCCATATGAAAGAGTTAAGAGGCATTGCTTCTTACCTACACAAGCTGAAAACCCTTTAAGTCTTGAGTTTCTTGCAGTTTGTCACCATTCTCTGCGTCAAGCCATGTCCCACAGAAGGATTTACTTTGCTACCTTCATGATCTGCAGAGGAGCTTTTTCCTTTAGTGGAGCTGGTGCACTCTTCTTCCTTCACCCTGAATTCCTCGCTAGGGTTCTGATACTTTATCTCTCTCTCTTTCATTCCAAGGCAGTGATCCCATTTCCTGTGTCTTCCCCTTCATCTACAAGAAGAGCGCCTACTCCTCCTGCACCAAGGATGGGAGCAGCAAGGGAACTCCCTGGTGTGCCACAACAAGCAGCTACGATCTGGATGGTAAATGGAAGTATTGCACCTTGCAAGGTGAGTGCCAGACCCTGCCCCATTTGTACCTCTCCCTGTTTTCAGAGTTGCCATGGTGAGGATAGATGGCCACACCATGCAAATAGCCTCACGCAGCAAAGAAATGAGTCAAGTGTGTCGGCCAATTTAGGGAGTTTTATAGTCAGGTTTTTTCAGATTCAGCTTTAGAGATCTACATCTGTGCTAGTCTCCCCCTTTATAATCAGTGGGAAAAGCAGGTGCTTCCAGGGAATGACTGATCCCCTATAAAAGCAGGTATCTATAGTCATACAGACCATGGCTACTTTGTCCAAGTGCCTGTCCTTTTGGGTTATGATGCATGGGCCCAGTGTAGGTGTGTGCGGGAATGGGCTGCCCCCACTTTTAATGCACTTAACTCCGCCTGGATCTTACCTCTTCTTAATAACCATCTGGATGCCTGGGTCTACCTGGGATTATGGGATGAGGCTAGAGTGAGGTTGGAGTCCCACCTTAGGATGTGGTTTGGGAAGTGTCTGCCTCTCCAATCAGCTGAGTATCCAGATCTCAACTTTTAAGGTAGATGAACTCACCCTAGCTCTTTACCCCTTGAGAAATTCAGTTTAGTCACCTTCAACTTTCTCCCTCTCTTACTTGCTCACTATTCATTATCTCCAGTATAGCATGTAAAAGGACCTTGCTCCTGAAGGCTGTAAATAGTCACATCATTACCAGAAGCCTCACAGTGTGTCCATTTGGGATCCCACTCATAGCTGTTGCTCAGGGAGATCCAGAACTCCCAATCAGTTGTGCAGGAGGTGTAGGTCAGATCTTAATAGACGAATAAGAAGATGCAGGAGTCTGTCAAGTTTGAACTTAGCACTAGGAACAAGAGACATAAGGCATCAGCCAAATGCTTGTCCCTGGATATGATGACGAACTGTACAGGGAGCCCATGAAAAGGCTTGCTCTGACCAACACCTCCACCTTCTCCAATCCTCCATCTTCCTTTGTTTAATTCAGGCTTGAATTTGTGGAACAGTCAGTGAGCTCACATGGGTGCTAAGGGCTCAGTAAGGCAGATTATGAGATGTCCTTGTGCTGGGTGTGGGGTTCGTTTGGGACCATTGGTTTGAGAGCAGAGGTGAAAGGAACTGGCAGAAGCATGCCAAATTCACCCCAAGCTACACACACCCTTCTTGGTCTCCAGACATAGAAGATTTACAAGTCTAATTTAAGCAAGTCACCTTGTTCCTGAACCATCCTTGGGAAGCAGAAAGCTTCACAGAGCAATTCTTGGAGACCTCCTTTACCATTAGATGAGGTTGAGTTCTCTTTCAGAGGTGCTAGAGCCAGTCTAGAGGGCTTTAGACACCCAAATTCCTGGAAATGGATTTGGGGATGCATCTATCTATCTAGGGCAGCATTCCAGCAGCTCTTTTACTTTGTCTCTTGAAAGTGCCAGCTCTCCAGGGAAGGGTATGCTCCAGAAAAAACTCTGTGCAACGCCAAGCACTTTTCTTACTGTATCCTCTTCTCTCCCCACAGAGCATGGGGGCAGCTCAGGTGGCCAGCCCTGCTTCTTCCCTTTTTTATACAAGAAACGATCATTCTACACCTGCACCAATGAGAACACGAAGGATGGGCAATTCTGGTGTGCCACCACAGACAGCTATGACCGTGACCATCGTTGGAGCTACTGTCCTGACATCAGTGAGTACAATGTTCCTTGCACAATTTCTCTTTCCTGACCATTGCTGAATATGTGCAGCACTGACATTTTTCTCTCTGGCGCCTAGTGCTGAGCTCAAACCCAACAGGACCCTGCGTCTTCCCCTTCACCTACAAGGGTCAGACCTACACCTCCTGCACAACTGATGGGTCATCCAAAGGGCTTCCATGGTGCTCTTTGAGCAGCAATTATGAGCAGAATCCCAAATGGACATACTGCCAGGCCTCTGGTAAGGATATGGGGAGTTAGAGAGCTCAGCAAGTCACAGCTGTTTTTGCTGCAGAGGCAGGACAGGGCAACACCTGAGTTCACAGTAAAGCTGAGACAGTTAAATTGCCACAAGTGGGACAGCTCCTTCACTCCAATTCATCACCGGGATTATGAAGGGAAAATTCACCCAGGGATCTGGCAGGATCAGGACTGGTAGCTAAGGCAAAGCTGGCATTGGTAATCTCCAGACAAACTGAGATGGACAACACTTGTGGGGATATATGGGACTTAGGAGGCAGTGAGAAGACATCCAGCAGAGGAGACCTTTGCCAGGCCATTCTCCTTTCTCAGGATGGTCACATTGCTGTTCTTGAAATTGGAAAAGGAAATTATCCTCCCCAAAACCCCCACCGCTGCTCTTTATAAGTAGGGGTGAGAGTGCAAGGGATGAAGGCAGGCAAAGAAGGCAATAAGGCAAGCAGGGGCATCTCTGGACACTCATGTATTCTACACCCGTTCCACTGGACTCATCTCCAGCAGCAGTGCCTAAGACAACAGGGAAAAGTAGGTGTGAGATGCAAATTTTGTACTGAAGAGAAGGAAAAAGGAAGGAGAGAAGGGAAGAAAACTGACTTTATATATCTTAAAAATTTTGAACGTGCATGAAGAGATAGGGGAAAATATTCAAAATCAGTTTCATGATTTCCCCAATTCTTATCTTGACTAGCTGAGCAGTGGGGTGCTCTTTAAGGCCTCAAAACTGGAAGGAAAAATGTTTAACATTAATTTCTGCAACCTGCCCCCTTTTCCAAGACTATTCTCAGCCCCACATGATGGGGCTGACCAACTCAGAAAGTGCTAATGAAAATAGGAAAAATGCAGTCCCTCAGTCCCAGGCTTGGTGCCTAGCCGGTTGAGCATGGAGGATGCTGAGTGCCCAAAGGGACATGGGGAACTGGACGGTGCCCATAGGGAGAGAGTATTAGTGTGAGGTGTTAAAAATGGCAAAGCTGAAACTCACAGCCCCAACTGCGGATGGTCAGAAACATTCCCTGATACAAACTGTAGGGCAAAGACCATTCTCCTACTTCTACTTAACCAAATCTTTTCTTCCATCTCATCCTTCCCCCAACTAGTGTCTGGTACAAACAGTGGGAACCTCCCTTGCGTCTTCCCATTCAAATACCAAGCCAAGCTGTACCATGGCTGTACAGATGTTGGCTCGCAAGATGGGAGGTACTGGTGCTCCTCCACCAGCAACTATAACAATCAGTGGCACTACTGTTCTACGGCAGGTAAGGAGGGAGCTTTCTCTGGGTGGTCTTGGCCTCTGTCACATGGTGCAAGGGTGTGCTCTGTCACGCCCAGAAGGGTGCAGGATTCTGGTCATTTGGGGAGGAAGTGGGTAGGCTTGGCTACAAGCACTAGTGGGAATTAATTCCACTTGGGTCATTTCTGGTGTTTGGAGAGAACAGCTCAGGACTTACAGATAAATGATGGCAAAGTTAGCATCATAGTGTCCAGGATACTCTGGCATAGGTCTGAGATAATGTAGATAGAGAAAATCCTATTCTCCAGGATGCTTTTATTCCTTTTCTTGGTTCTGGAGGTCCTTATGGGAACTAGGTGCTCTGCTCTGATACTGGGAAGCCACAAAGATCCCAGAAACAGGTATGAAAAGGAGTTTGGGTTTGGACCTGCCTTTAGCAAGCAATTTTGATCCTTTCAGCTTATCCATGACAATGGCAGCGTATCCCTATCTTTGTACAACTGCATTAGAGGAAAGTGCTCTAACCCAGCAGACAATAAAATAAGATGAAAGGGAGAGAAACTGAATGCATCTGGGCTGGAAACAACTACTTGTTGGCACTAAGGGCTGGATTTATCTCACGTAATTTCAGGTTAGCTACCTAGGCTGCTCTCATAGATAGCAGAGGAAAGCAGACATCTCTAGCTAGGAGGCACCTGACCTAGGTTAAACTTGTACTTTCTAATGAGAAGAATTTCTCTTCAAGAGTGTTTTAGGGCTGTCTTTACTGTAGATCTCTAAAGTCCAGAGAGTTCAATCCCACCATATAAGTATTTATTCAGATTAGCCCATTCTATCTGACATACCAAGAATTCACTGTGGAAACTGCAGCATTTCAATATGCCTCTACTATTCTCATCACAGCATTTCTTGCCTCAAAACATCCCAATAAGAGCCAGTAATATATCCAATATCTGAGGTGAGCCTGGCAACATCACAGAGGCTTTCAAAGGTGGGCACAGTGCAGGGTTGGCAGGTGAGTTCAGGATCCAGCCCATGCCTGGGAAGCTGTGTGGGTGCCTGAATTGTGCTTCTTGGGAGAGTACAGTAGACAGGACTGAACCTAAAGCCATGTCTGCAAGAGAATTGAATTAGATGTAGATGGGCTAATACTTATTCTATTAACAATCGCTGCTGGAAGAGTTGGTCTGTTTAGTGACATCCCCAGAGGTACTCTCTTTGAAGTACTTTCCTAGTTCCTCCTGAAACTCATGAATATTTCCTTCATCTAGAACACCCTTTGTCAAGGAGCTCTGCAGATATATTGCATGTTGTACAGAGAAACACCTCTTTTGGGCCTGGTTGCTTCAAGTTTCCTTCACTGGCCACTGGTTTTTATTCTGGAAGAGACAGTAAATAGTTAGTCTCACTTCATTTGCTACATACCTATCCTAATTTTGCAGGCCACACTTCACTCATGTCTTCTCAAAGCCAAGGAACATCTCCAAATATTATTTGTCATTTTCCATGACAATTCTATGGTAACAAGATAAAATACATGCATTCCTTCTGTCTCACCCGTTTTTATTGCTGATGGTCATCTACTGCAAAGACTTGAGGCGGCCAAGGCTTTCGATCTGAATTTAGAGAAATGATGCAAAAAATCAAAGCTGTGAAAACTTACTTGGTTTTTATTCTGGAAGAGACAGTAAATAGTTAGTCTCACTTCATTTGCTACATACCTATCCTAATTTTGCAGGCCACACTTCACTCATGTCTTCTCAAAGCCAAGGAACATCTCCAAATATTATTTGTCATTTTCCATGACAATTCTATGGTAACAAGATAAAATACATGCATTCCTTCTGTCTCACCCGTTTTTATTGCTGATGGTCATCTACTGCAAAGACTTGAGGCGGCCAAGGCTTTCGATCTGAATTTAGAGAAATGATGCAAAAAATCAAAGCTGTGAAAACTTACTTATTACTCAAGAAAATACAAAGTAAAAATTTTGTTTTCTATTCATTCTCCAAATTACACTCTTCTTGCTCTTCTTTCTATTTCTAGAGTATGGAGGAAATTCCAATGGTGAAAGCTGTGTTTTTCCTTTCATCTACAAGAAACAGCTATTTTATAGCTGCATCAAAATAAATGATAGTGCTGGAAATCTGTGGTGCGCTACAACAGGCAATTATGATCAAGATAAACTCTGGAGCTATTGCCCTGAAACCTGTAAATATCTCCTTTCCTCTGTTCTCCTCCCAGTAAGAAGCAGATTAAAAATACAAGGGTCAGGTAACAGTTGGTGTATGTCAGCCTGAATTCAGTAGGAAAAAAGGAACGACGCAGGTGAGGGGAAGACAGTAACACTAGGAAAAAGAAAATGATTAGAAGTTATAAGAAGGATAATAATTGTGCTTTGATCCCACTCTACAAGAATCTGAATATGGATAGGGAAGCATTAACTCATTAAATGTTGGAGCTAAACAGAGTTATGCCGGGGCTGTAGGGGTCAACTGTTTTTTAAAAACAATGAGCATTAACCTGTGGAACAGCTTGTGATGTTATGCTGCATCTATGCAGCTACAGATCTGGTGTCTTTCTGAGCAGTTTGTATGCATAGGGGACTAGGCAGGAGATTTAGGGGAAAGTTTCTAACCTATGTTCATCTGCGAATTACCCTGGTGGATTTTGGTCCTGTTTTGCAGATATATCCTGGAATAACAGAGAGTCCAAATGTGTGTTCCCATTTATTTACATGGACAAGTTGCACCATTCCTGCATCCAGAGTGAGAGGCTGCCTGGAAAATTCTGGTGTGCTACAACAAGCAACTATGACCAGCACAAAACATGGAGTTTATGCTCCTACATTGGTAGGGCTGCAGTCCCTCTCAAAGCATCTCTGGGACATCAGAGAATGGGACCTAGGTTCACCATCCTAAATCTAGGGGGGCAAAACACCCAGTACTCAGGTCTTAGGTGAGATCTGGCAATATGAGGCCCATTCTTTAGCGTGTCCCCCTATTCCACAGCTGCAGACCCGTGTTTGAGGAACTTGGATGCAATCAAGGAAAAAGAAAGCAATCCTGGAAGATGACCCAAAGGGAAATAGGCCTTATGCCTCAGTCTTCAGGGAACCTGCATGAATGTTATTGAAACATCCATTCCCCAACATGTTTACAGGAGACTTAGAGAGATGAAAACTGACAATTAAGGATGAGGTTGCAGAGCAAAGTAACCCAGGCTAAAACTAAACTGGATGACCAGATTACAACTTGACTAGTTGCTGCAACACAAGTAATTTTGATTTGATAAGGACTAGAACTCTAGAGGCAAAGGTCTGATCTTTTATTTCCTGGGCCAAAACCTCCTCCTTGGTGCACGGTATGGTGATACTTGAGCCAGAGAGAACGTTGCCTCTCTAATCTTTCTCTAAGTCTCCTTTAATTGGGAAAAGTGAGCATGAATTTGTGCTTCATTAGCAGCTCCTCCTTGTGGACACGCTGTGAGCATGAACTAAGATCCCTTTTCCAGGGCCACCTTTAGCATGCACCAGAGCATAATAGTTGTGCAAACAGGGTGACTAAAGGTAGGTGTTCACCTTAGCCTCCTGCAACAGAAACATCCCACACAGAGAGGCTCCAGGCCAGGTAGAGCTCAGAGCACAATGTTGGCAGGATCTCAATGCATGTACCTTTCTCTCCCACAGATCCCAGACATTCCTCTGAGAAATCTTGTGTTTTTCCTTTCACCTATAACGGTCAGCAATTCAATGAATGCACCAGCCTGAATGAGAGGAAAGGGAAGCTCTGGTGTTCCACTACTGATAACTACAACAGAGACCACAAGTGGCGCTTCTGTCCTATGTGATGTGAGGAAAGGATGAAAGGAGGAATGGGCATTGCCCAGCTGTTTGGCCCTGCCTGGAATCCCTTAAAACCCGTTCTGTCACCAACTGCTTAGCTTCACGCAATCCATTTAATGTGAGTTGCTTTAATTGTATGCACAGCGTTATGCATTTTACCAGGCTTACAATAGCTACTAAATCTTAAGAGTCAGTTCCATCAGTGAAGCCATCTTTATCACACGTGTACAGTCTCTGTACAGTCCCTGAAGGAAGGGGAGCTGCAGCAGCTGGAAAATGTCGGATGTGTTTCCCAGAATAAGCCTAGTGTTCCCTGCAATATTGCTCCCTGTACAGGCCCTCACTCATTCTCACAGTGCTGCAGACACACAGGCCCTGTCATGCCTCCTGTGCTCTTGGTGTCTAGATTTCTAACTGTTATGCTTCTTGGTGCAAAGTGGCAGAGCTGGGGAGAGGAGGGAAAGGCACCCCAGAAATGGTGGAGCAAGGAAATGAAGTGGTATTGGTAATTAGGAGCACTTCCAAGGCTGTCCTGCTGCCTTCATCTCTATTCTGATGGGGACCTGTTGGAGAGAGTCCAGAGGAAGGCAATGCTATTGATATAACCTAGAAGTGAAGACTGATTTAACTGAGAGGAGACTGAGAGGACACCGGGAGGGGAATCCACTCTCGTTAAAGAGTACCATATGGAGTGCAGAAATGTGACCAAATTGCCCATGTCTGTCTCCCTTAGCTGAGACAGATGCACCCCATGGCTCATGCCTCTTCCACCCTCAGGGACTGCCTCACTCTTGCTTTTCTGGAAGAAGGATGGAGACCAATGCAGCACCTGGTCTGGTCCCAGAAATAGCTCCTGGTTCCCCCTAAACCTGGAGCTGAGCAGGGTTAGGGTTGCTGGGTGCAAAGCAGAGGCTGTGTGAAAGATGGGGTCCCTTCCCCTGTGCTCTTCCCATTTTCCCTGAATCTTCCTCCTTTAGAATAAGGTCCCATGCAGTTCCCTGAGGTCACATCCCCAAGGTGCTAGGCTCATGTCCCACCCCTGTTCAGGTTTGGAGGACAAATCTTCTCTCCCAGTGGGAAAAAATAAAAACTGCTGAGCAAATTGAAATATGCCCTGCATAAGCAAACTGAGACAAGCTGTTCCTTGTTCCTGGCACCAAGCTGGAACCAAACATGCAACACACATTGCTGGCATGCTTCATTTTAGAAATGAGAGCAAGTCAGCTACTTTTCCTTCATGCATTTTTAGCAAAGGCTTCTGTTCTATTGCTCTACTTCAGTCCGTTTTCAGAGAGTGCTTTGGGGCCTGGCCACAATCACAAAGGTATAAAAGGAAAGGGCTTTTAAGTAAAAGCTGTGAAGAAAAAAAGGATCATGTTCAAATGCCAGTTTCAGAAACTGTTCTGAGGCACAGCAGAGTTTTTCCAAAAGACCGTGGAGCGTGCAGCACTTGTCAGTGCAGTTCACTTGAATGGAGGCCACAGTGCTCTGAGACCAATGTGCCATAAACTCATGCAATGCCGATGTATAGTTCCTGGGGTGTGCCGAGGTTTAGTTTTACACAGAAAGGCTACAAAAAAGTGGGAGAAGGCAGGGGTTTTTCCTTTGTTAATCTTTTTTGACGTAAAGCTAAAGAAGTCAAAGCATATATAGCAAAGTTTAAAAAGCTATGATAATGCTGCTTGAGGTATTTTTAAAAACAAAATGTAATTTCTTGGCCACATTACGTGTTATCTAAAAGAGTTCTAGCATTTGAGTAACTATATTCGAGTTCCAAGATAAGAAAAGTATAGGGCTAAATGATATCACCAATAATTTTAACTTACACACAATGTGGCTTTTGTTTTACACGTTCATGACCGAAAAGCTGATATGAAGCAGATTTCCTTCCTAAAGAGCATAGCGCAGAGTGGCAAGGCACCAAGAGGATCAGACCAACCACATATATACAGTCACTTATATAAATTAGCAGAAGTTACAGATGCAAAGGTGAATCTGTCCAGAGCTAGGGGAAAATGTCTGACAAAATATAAGAGCGTCAGGGCATGAGTAAGTAAACTGAATATGGTGCTGTTAAAATTTCTCAGCTTCAGCTGAGAAAAGGGATAGAATAGATAGAATGGATAGAATTTATCCAATCTTACACATCTAGAGTGCAGATGTCCTCATCTGAGCCAAGCACTGAAGCTGCCGTTGCTGTTAGTGGGCAGAAATAGGTCCCAGAAGACCTGATGCACCTGGTGTCATGGAAATAGTTCGACCCTAGGTTTCCAAGGAGCAGAGTCTCACACGTGTCTAGCAGTGAATGTAATTATTTATTTAAATGACGGTACAGCAAAGTAACAGCTTGAGCTGGGTGCCTCCGGGGAGGGACCCCGAACAAAGAAATTTTAAGGGTAATTAATTATACTCCTTACAGTCAAATTTCCTTGCCTGCTAGTGACAGTCTCTTCCAGTCTTCTTTACCGAGTCAGTGGTCTCTTTCCTTTTGATTGGTTCATGTCTACACCCCAGGACGGTTGCTATGTTCCTACTTCATAGTACCTTATCTTATCCGAACGTTAACCGTTACCTCTGCCCATTGTGTGCTGTATCTTTGAGGGCTGGTTCTAGCTGGTTTTGCAGTCACATCCTCAGCAAAGTCTCTCGAGCTCATTTACAATTCAGTCCTGCAGCCTGAAGGCTTCATCTACTTTAGGCACTAGTGCTAAGCTGGGCTAGAGCTAAATTAGCTCCCTTTTCTAACACCTGGACTGGGGTCAATGTCTCCTTTAGGGTGAGATGAAGTGTGCCCTAGAAGCATACATTTTTCATAGCTGACTTCTAAGGGTATTTAGATCAAATACTGGCACGTACATCATAAGCATTAGCACGAGGACAGGGAATTCCAGCCACACCACAACACAGCAACTGTTAAATGTCTGTGGAAACCTGGTCTGTGGAAACTTCCAGCACCTGTCATTTCTCTGGTACCTTCACCCTGGTGCCTCCAAAAGGTTTAGACGCTGCCTGGGAGAAAATATGTGGAGTACAGTATAATGAACCAGATCAGATAGTTCCTTGTCCTCACGGCACCATATGCTAACATGCAAGTTGCTGTGTTTTAAAAGTATGTGACATTTTTTACTTATTTTACAAATGCGAAAACAAATTCTTTTTTGATGAGGCAATCAGCCCTTGTTAACAACGCCTTTGCCGTCAGCATCCTGAAAATAAAATTGGAAACCGGGTATTGTGGCAAAGTTGAAACGAACTCCAGTTTCCCACCCCTCTCTAGGATTCCTCCTGCCTTTTGGGGCAGGGATGTACCCCAGAGTCACTACAGCCCCATTCCCTGTGTATAGGGAGATGAACTTTCTCCTCTATGGAGCAGTGGGGCTCAGATACCTGTGAGCAGCTACACCAAGCCCCTAGTTAATACAGTCAGCAGAGCTTTGTGGACTCTTGCCCTGAAGAAGACACCCATGGTGTAACTCAGGTATTTAAACATAGGCAACAACTACCATTTCAGATGACTAGAGGACTGCACTAAGGTACCTGAATTACACCTACTGGTCTACTGAAGATTCTTTCTCGTAAGTATAGGTGTTTTGCTTTCAAGAAGATTTCATAGGAATCATAACCCTCTTTCACATGGGTCTAGAGGCAACTAGGATATGACGGAGACTAGACAAAATTATTTCAGGTCTCAGCCTCTCAGTGCCTGTGTGCACGTGTGTGCACAAAGCAGATCTTTCCCTACTAGGGCAGGCACAGGGGTGGATGCCACCACCTCATCCTCTTCCCCATGTTTGCTGGACATGCTTCCAGCACTCCTGTTTTCTGCACTTGCAAGTGCACATGGGCCCATTTTCAGGGCATAGGCACCAACCCAGATGAGGCCCAGACATGCAATAACTGCAGGGAAGGGGATTTGCTGCTCCCGTCCAGCGCAAGACTCACTGGTTACAGGGCTGCGCTGTCATGCCTCCCTGATTGCAAGTGCTGTTGAGCCAAGGCAAAGCAGCTGTAGCCACAGGATGGCACCATCATCCCTGGAAGAAGGGCATGGGGCATGGCTCCTGTTTCTCCTGGCTGCTGTCCTGCTGTAGTTCAGACATGTGGGGAGAGCTGTCCCGGGCAGCCATCCTGGGCAGTCTCTCAAGCTCTGCTGTGCTCTGGCTCTGGCCAGTGATTTTGGGGTCTTTTTTCATCTAGGAACCAGAAAACGGGCCCGGCTCTACCTTGGGCCAGGGCTCTGGTGTCCCAGTGCAGAAAAGAGATATAGAGACATGTGTTCGCTCCTGGAATGCTTCTCATGCGCACATGCCTGTGTTCACTTGCACTCAGAGCTTAAATGTAGGAGCGCATGCAGAGTACAAATAGAAAGCAAAAGTGCCAGTTTCCACATGCACAGGATGCTTGCAGCATTCCCAGCTCACACACACACATTCACACTGACCACACGCATATTTGCAGTTTCATGCAAGTGTGTGCTGCACACGCACACACTCCAGCACGCAAGTCATTCCCATGTAGAGACCTACTCAAATAGGTCTGGAAGCTCACTTCAGTCAAGGATGACATATAACAGGTGAATGTGATTGAGCGATGGACCACGAGGAGAGTAGAAAAGCCCCTGAGTAGGAGAGGAGCACACTGAGAAACAGAAGAGCATGAGACAATTTGTCATATCCCTGCAACACAGACAGCCGCTTCCTTCTCCATCACCTCCTGTGTGATTCCTGTGGCTAACCTCTATAAAACTTCCCATGCTCTTAACCCAAACCCTATTCCCTTTCTCAGAGCAGATATATCCACACACAGACAAACTGCACAGCAGATTCATGGCTTGCAGGGAGAAAAGAACACTTATTGCTTCTGTACGAGGTCCTGAATGAGGCAGTGTGTCCAGGCTTCCCCGCTGTATGTTAACAGAGGATTGCATGGTTTAGAGCTCAGTGCTTATAGCAAGGAGAGGTCTTCAGCTCTGTACAAAGGGGCTGACTTCACTTTAAAGAAAGGTGCTTTGAAATAAACACTGCAGCTCACCAGCCTGGTAAAGTCCTTCTGCAATTTCTTATATGCATAGTGCATTTTTCTTGAATTGATTTTCTACATTGTGTCTCCACTGGTGTCCATTGTGTCTCCACATTTGAATTCTGAAAGGTTTAAAATTTATAATTCATCCTTTCCTTAAAATGTTGGTTTCAGGAGTCTCTC